TTATTTTATATTTGAGTCTATTTCAATACTCAAAAGGATTCGAAGATAAACTTTTTATGAGTTGACAAATGTCATATTTTTATCATAGGATGCTCATGTTCTATGCTGCAGTAAATTAAAAGATGTGGCATGTTAAGGCACATCCTTGAATTCCCAATTATGAAGACTTTTAAGACTCAATTTAAAAGGTTTTATAGTGTGCTATTTATATGGTTTATTATAATAAAACTTCCAAGAGAAGTAATACATCATGGACAAGATATGATACTCTATGTGAAGAGTATTCAATTTGGGAATAGCAAAAAGAAGAAGAAACACAATACCTATAAAAACATCTTGGTTTCTTCGAAACGAAGGGATATGTAGAGAGACCTGGTGGTAGCATAGAAACGCTAAATATCAATGGGAAAATTGAAATTGTGATATTTGAAATAATGGAATGAAGAAAATATTTTTTTCACGATGTAAGACAAGAGAATCCAAGTGTCGAAGAGATTGACACTTCGTGACATGTGAAACCAATGACCAATACATTCTCCATCAGTTGCGTGCACTTCCAATATCACAAAAGCTTGTCAAACAAGTAAAAACAATAAATCAAGAAAGCCGAGGTACCATACTATATGGTTTTGAGGTTTGAAATACATCCCACATTATATTGTAAGGTCGTATATGGAATGAAGATTGAATAAGTTTGTTTAATGTGCTTTGGTTATATTTTGGCTAATTGTGTTATGAATATGAATGGAGTGTATGGACATTAAGTGATAAATGCTAACAAATATTTGAAAGTGTCGATTTTGAATACATTGTGTTTTTTGTGCCTCTTTGTGCTTGAGTATGAACTACTTAAGGTACTGATACACATGGAGATGTGATTTGATCAATGGCTTTGAGCCCTAAGGATGAAACACTAGAGATGGGTGTGACTCATTCAAATATATAAGCACAAAGGGAGAGTTCTAGTGAAACTCGGTCTTGGTGACTATTCTCTCAATAATGTCTATAATATGATGTTTTGCATGTGATGATGATCGCTTGATAAATTCTCCATAATTGCCAAAAAGGAAGCATTTTGTCAAGGCTTTAATATACATTATTTAGTAGTGCTTTATTTTGGATAAAGTTATAAGATGGTATATATGATTTGTTTTTGTGGGCATGAACTTGACTTGGTAGGAAATTAAAGGTGAATGTTGTAAAATGATTTATGAAGGCTAAGCATGTATTTTATAATTAACTTTGATGATTTGATAAAAGCCTAAGCCTATGAATATGGTTTTGACAAGACCACATAGTCTTGCAAGGTCCATTAAGTCTTTATGAAAATCATTTTAAATTGTCATACTGTTATATTGCTTGTGAATGCATATATATATATATATATATACCAAGTCTAATTTTTTTTTATTAAAAAGAAAAACATTGTGTCTTGAAGGTATTTATAAAAGTGGAAAAAAAGCTATCATGCATTATTATTATTTTTAAATACCTATATGTTTTGACCCATGTTTCTAGTTATTTAGAATCCTCGATTACTTAAGACTTTGAACCATATGAAATATTGTAGAAATACCATCATGTTAGGCTTCTCTGACACATATTGTGTTTGATTAGATAACTTGGTTTATATGTATTTACTACCAAGATATCTAGTGTGGTTGAACATTTATGGTTCATGAAGGTTTTTGCATATTGTGAAACCAACGAGTATTGAATTACATATTGCGTGACACTTGATATGCTACCTCATGATATATGCATAAGATTGTTGAGAATGATTATGTTATATGTGCAATAATTGAGTGGGAGCTACTACAGTCTTACGGTTTTTTTAGCTGCTTAGATATTCAGATATACAGGTGCAAGCTATTTCACAGATCCAAATTATGCGAAGTCTACATCTGGATATGTGTTCATGCTTGAAAAAGGTGCAATTTTTTGGAAATTAAAGAAACATGATGTGACGAAATTGTCCACCATGAAGGCAGAGTAAGTGGCGTGCTGTTTGGTGATCGAGGAGGCCATATGGATTAAGAAATTTCTTAATCGACTTGACTTTCACCTCGTGCGTTGTGAGGCAGTAAGAATTTTTTGCGACAGCACGGTAACAATATATACGTCAAAAGAGCCATAATTCCATAAGAACTCCAAGTATATAAAACTATGTTTTTATCACCTGATAAATGATGTGAGATTGAGAAAGATCGAGATACATATAAACTAAATATTCTAGTGGGAGCACCTGCTAGTATTTGACATGCCAAATGAAACAACAGACTATAATGTTGTTCACCCATGGAATCCAAATGTTTGGTGCTAGTTGTATGGCTACAAAAGGGAGCAGCTTATTTGAAGAACTTTTTTAAACTCATGAACATACGACCCCATGCGATGAGGGAACGTGATGGTCTTTTGCGACAACAGGTATATGATTCACTATGTGATGTGAAAAGTGAGCTACGACCATTTTTTTTATGAGATCTGAGCAGCAAAGAGAAAAATGTGATGCCTCTATAAATCCTTTTGTGAAAGGATTGATGGCGAAAATCATGATTAATGTATTGAGAGAATAAGTAAATATGTTTGAGAGAGATTGTAATTAGGAGAAAGAGATGAGAATGAGAGAAAGTGAGAAATAAAGAATGTAAGGCCTTCAAAGGCTAAGTAGGAGATGTTGGGTTCATGTGGCCTTTAAATGCTTTATGAGTGCTTGTAAAATGAAATGATATAGTGGAACATAAACTTAGTGGGAGTGTGGTCCCACGTGGACCATACTAAACAAACGATGATTTGTTGATACCGATCTGTGCTTAACGATCTAGGCCAGTCGGTTGGGAAAAACCCATGTTACCTAGGTATGAAGAACAAACCTATGAGGGTTTATGGGTTAGCCCTTGATGAGGTCGAAAAAATTGCCCGGATGTGTGAGAACTTGCCCGGATGTGTGAGCCGAGGGATTGTGTGACCCTTGTGTGTGATTGTGGTCTATTGAGACGAGGGTCAAAACCCCATCCATATTTCATCACACGGCATGTATATTGATAGATCGTTCGGAAAAGCCAGATATCTACATTTGGGCGAAGCGTATCCATGTGCGAGAGATACCCCTATCCGCCATAGAGCTGTGGTCGCATCTGTCATGGTGATATTGACTCGTCTCTAGGGGAGGACTTGTAATCCGCAGACTGAGATTGCGACCCCTTGATTCATCAACCTGACTTTGCTGACCTTCTAATGAGCCCCTGCTTAGACTGTGGGTCATGAGAAATATTGAGACGGTTTGATAAAGCTAATGTGGTCTGTAGTCTACAGTTGAAGGTGGAGTACACCGTTATTACAGATTGGATTCCTAAAACCATATGGATATTTTTTTTCCCATCATATTAATTTAATTGTGTTCATTTTATTATTGAAATGATTTTAGTTTTGTTATTAGAATTTTATGAATCTCTCAATATTTTATTTGTGATTTTTTGACTTATAAAAATACAGTTATTGCTCTTACAAAGTAATAAAAATTCAAATATATATTTTAAATTGTTTTATTTAATTTTAAAAATAATATATTTTTTTTATGAGGGCCCATAGTGCACATGGGCCCAGCATGTGGCATGTGGGTGGCGGCCCACATGTGGAACAAACGGGTGGCACACCCCACCCTCTTTGGATTTTTTTGTTTGCTTTTAAGATAAGGTTAGTTTGATTTATGACATGTGGTTAAATCTTGGAAGGGATATATTAACCATGCCTTTATCTATCTTGTAGCAAGTTTGTTTTAAAGAGATATGGTCAATTTAAATTGATATGGATCTCATCTTATTTATATTTGGTAGTATTTATCTACTTGATATTATTTGATATATTCTTATGGAATAGGTGACATGGATCGTGCAATTTTATAAAATGCATGTTATTTATTTTATTTAAATATATTGATGGAAAAATGGTTTAGGAAAGGGCGATAATGGTTCATGCACTTTCCATAATGTTGATGGCCCATCTATGGAATAGATAGCTCAAATCTCTCTTTCACATTGTGAAAGAAACTAAGGGTTTAGGTTATGGAGTTCTTCTCTTTTATCTCTCAAATATAGATTTATGGCTAAGGGTTTTAGGGTTTAGCAAAAAGAGATCAAACTAGGTTGCTAAGAGAATTCACCTAGGGTTTGAGTTTATGATCAAAGGGGTTCATGTTCCATTGGTGTGGCTTGGCCGAAATTTGCTTTTCCGGTTCGAAATTGAAGCTAGACCGTTGATTCCACATCATCGGAGGGTGGTGACTCGGTGTGGGGTGTCATAAGCCTGGTTGAGGTAATCTCCGGTACTCTTCCTTTTGTTTTTTGCAATCTTATCTTTTATTCTCAAGCATAGTGCATAGTTGTTTCAATGACATCAAGTTGTTAAGATCTTTTGTTTTATTGTTATGTTGATTTTATTTTGAAATTTATCTTATTAGAGAAATTTATCTTATTAGAATAAAGACCACATGTATGTGATCTTTTGCCTAAAAGAAAGGGGTGAAGGAAAAAAAAAAAATTTATATTCCCCGGTAAAAGATCGCATAGGTATTTCTTTTACAAGTTTTCCTTCCAAATTTAGGTTTGAAAAGGGCCAGTTTGTTTTGCTCTATTATTCATGGGCAAGTTTTTGTAGTATCCGTTATGTACAATTCACCTCCTAGAACAATTAAGACCCTGCAACATAGAGTACTTGCTTCTCCCTATTTATGAACAACAACTCCATTTTGTAGAATTGTTTTTCCGGGCTCATCCTTTTCGCTACAACATTCATCAATTTTGTAAATTATAGTATCCATCCAATTTCAAAGTTGTTGAAGGAATCATACATGCATGCTATAGAGATTATCATATGGTATATGTCCCTATTAAAAATTAATCTTCTAGTGAACCAAGAAATGCCATTGAATTTTGAAAAGAAAAACTTATGCAACTTTGTTGTAGGAAGTGCAACATAGGACGAGAATATATGATACTTACAAGGAAATTGAGCTTCCCCTTAAAATGTGCAGAAACAGTTTCAACCAATTTCTCCCAATTCGGACGCAAGGATATATCACAAACTAAACCATGAATAGCTGATCCCATTGCCTTCCATTCATGCAAACATTGGTTAAGCTCGCCTTCATCAAGGTTGCAGGTATAAACTGATGCTCCAGACCCAGCTTTTTCTTCTACAATAGCACGTCTGTGCAAAGATTGATGTGGGCATGTTACACAAATGCACAAGTTTGGGCTGGGACGGCCCCAAATGGCCCAAAAAAACCTTCAAAAACTTCTACGGGGCTGGATTGGCCTGGTAAGCCCGAATACTCTGACCCGGACCAAAAAAGCCTGCCCCGGCTATTTTTAAAAGCTTTTGTTTTGCCCTTTTTCTTTCAACTCTTCACTCTTCAAACTTTTTTTTTTGTAATAAGTCAAAAACTTAAAATAAATAAATTGATGCTAAGATATTTTTTAAAAAATTTAGAACTCATTCTCTCTCTAGAAACTCATACTTTCGTTTGCTCTCTAAAAACTCATTCTCTCTAAAAAAGCAATCTCTCTTTCTATTTAAAAACTTATTATCTCTCTTTAGAAACTCAATCTCTCTTTCTCTTTCTAAAAACCCAATCTCTTTTTCTATATCTAAAACCCATTCTCTCTCTAAATCCAATCGCTTTTCTCTCTAAAATTCATTCTCTCTCTAGAAACTCAAGCTCTCTCTCTCTAAAAGCCCATTCTCTCTTTCTCTAAAACCCAATTTCTTTCTCTCTAGAAACCCAATATCTCTTGCTCTCACTAAAAACCCATTCCCTCTCTATAAAAAACTAATCGCTCTTTCTCTCTCTCCAAAATCTCAATATTTCTTTCTCTCTAAATACTCATTCTCTCTCTAGAAATCAAATATCTTTTTCTCTCTATAAAAACCTAATCGCTCTTTCTCTCTCCAAAATCCTAATCTTTCTCTCTCTAAAAACCCATTCTCTCTAGAAACCCAATAGCTTTTTCTCTTTATAAACCCAATCTTTCTTTCTATCTCTAAAACTTCATTCTCTCAATCTCTAGAAATCCAATCTCTTTTTAGAAACCCAATATTTTTTTCTCTATATAAATCTAATATTTTTCTCTCTCTCTAAAAATCCATTATCCCCGTTTAGAAACCCAATATCTCTTGCCCTCTCTAAAACCCCATTCTCTCTTAAGAAACCCCCTATCTCTCTCTCTCTCTGAATCTCATTATCTCTTTAGAGACCCAATATTTCTCTATCTAAAAACTAACTCTCTCTTTCGAAACCTAATATCTATTTCTCTCTCTAAAAGCTCCGATCTCTTTTTATATCTAAAAACCAATTCTCTCTCTAGAAACACAATTTCCTTTTCTCTTTAAAGACCTATTCTTTCTCTAGAAACATTAAAATTTGAATACTCACATAAAAAAGGCTTATTAATGCCAATAGATTTCTTTCGCTCCGGACCGGTCTTTTCAATAAGGGTTTTGAGTAAGGCCAAATGTTACGGGGCTCGGGCTGGCCTAGCTTGGGCCTTGCCCATGGTAAAATATAAGAAAAATATCTCCTTGTAATGTATTCTGAATATAATTTCTTGGTAAACCTTGACATATGAATTGTATCTTGCGGCATAATTCTTAAGAACATTTTACATCAAAATTATATACCATGATAAAATTTGAAGGTGCACCTTACCTCTATAGCTACGTATGCATCCGTTTGCCAACAGCATCCTTTAAGGAAAAAAGTTTATATAAGGATACAACTTTATAACGTAGAACTACGGATGCCCCTCAAAAATCCATCGGAAAAGGTAGTTTTAATGTTGAAAAACCTTTTGATTGATCATCTCGACATCGAGATGTATGACTATGAAAATAAAAAGATTTTTAACCTCATAAATAGTGCGTCTTATAACATATTATCTACACCGTCCATTTTCAAGATTTTCATATGGTTATAAATCTACTTGATTTTAGCCATTTTTTATTGGCATATAGATGCATCCGTAGTTGCAGAGGTACGGTGAACCTTAAAATTTTATCATGGTATATAATTTTGATATAAAATGTTCTGAGGATTATCTCAAAATCTATTTTTATATCCAATTATAAAATTTAAAATTTCAAAAATGGCTAAAATCAAGTAGATCTATAAACATATGACAATCTTTAATAGATAATATGTTGTAAAACGCACTATTTTTTAGACTTAAAATCTTTTTATTTTTATAGTCAGACATCTCGATGTCGAGATGATCAATCAAAGGGTTTTTCAACATTAAAACTATATTTTCAAATGGATTTTTTAGGGGCATCCGTAGTTCTACATTATAAGGTTGCATCCTTATATAAACTTTTTCATTAAAAGGGTGTAGTTGGCATACGGATGCATCCGTAGCTATAGAGGTAAAAGGGTACTTTTAAATTTTATCACGGTATATAATTTTGATGAAGATGTTCATAAGATTGTTTCAAAATTTATTTTTATATCTAATTATAAAATTTTAAATTTAAAAAAAAAAAAAGTTAGGTTGAGATAAAATACCTAGAAAGTTCATTTTTGAGATTTTAAGTAATTTTTTTTTGTTTTAAAAGACCTTTCTTCAAACCCCATGCCCCGTTTAACGATTACAAACACCACAACCCTGCTGCCCTGGTATTTGCCACTCGTCACATTTCCCTTCCTCCCCCTTCCCTCTCTTTATATCGCTCTCTAGAAATAAGAATAGATAAAGATCATGAAGACAAGAACAACGGAGGAAACAAAATGTGAATCAAATCAAGAACCAAAATGTAAATCAAATCAAAAGTAAGAAGCGAGAAGATCTAAGAATAAAAAAAGCTACAACATGCATGCAGCAGTAATAGAGAGAGAGCGAGAGCATTCAAGAGAGACGGACCCAATTCCTTTCGTACCGCCAGTAACCAAAGCCGTCGTGTGACGCAGAGACCACCTCTCCTCTCTTTCCTTGCTCACTACTCCCTCCATTTCCTCACATTTTTCTCTCTCTTAAGTTTTGATTTTATTTTTGTGGTAGCTGATGCTTTTGTCTAAAGTTTTGATACCTCATGGCAAATGAAATATGTGGCCAAAAAAAGAAAACAAAAAAAAGTTTTATATATAAATTCAGTGTCCTATCACATCGTACACGCGTTTTTCTTTTGGTATACGCCAATAAAGCTGGTTCCTCGTCCAAATCAACTTTAAGAGATAAACGTCGCGTACGGCTATCCAAGGGAGTACATACAAGTATCCAGTTATTAAACAATTCGTGGATTTTGATAAGGGTGCGGTTTTTATAAAGATGCAACCTTAAACAATCCATTCAAGGAGCACTCTAAAATTTTATAATGTAGTTTTGTTATAAAAAAAATTTAGTATTATATATTTAATATAAAATTTTAAATTTTAAAAATAATTAAAATTAAATAAATTTATAAATATATGAAAATATTGAAAATAGACGATCTAGATAATATATTACAAGATATATTATTTACGGGACTCAATTTTTTTTTATTTTTTATATTAATACATCTCAATGTAAAAATATGGAAACGATCTATTTGAAAGTTTTTTTAACATTAAAAAAATATTTTCAATAGATTTTTAAAATTGTATTTATGATTCTACATTTTAAAATTACAACTTTTCTCTTTTGATAATATCCAAGTTATTAAAAATCCATG